GTTTGTCTGCAAGTCGCTGCGGTGGGCGCACCGGGTCCTGCCCGCGGCCTCGCCCACCTGCGCCCGGAGCGCGAGCCCCCGGGTTCCCAGCCACTCGGGACGGTTTGCACGTTTCCGCAGGTCATCCTCCCTGATGGCCGCGCGTGTTTCAGCTTGCCGCAGTTTTACAGTAATTAGGTGAATATTGGTTCCTTAAGAATCTTCACCTTCTAGCAAAAACTTTGTACTCGCGGTGAGTGAGGTGCTGCTAACGGGCCTGTGGATGTTTAGTGTGGGAAGCGGCTATGACAACTGGGAGGGCGGGAGCCTGACTTTCCACCCCCGGTGGAGCCCTTCCCCTTGCCGGGCCTGTGCTCGCCAGTGAGAGAAACTAGCTGGTGGAGAACATTTTTTCTCCTTTACTTACCTGGAGCTACCGCATTCCAGTTTCCAAAACACAACAGTTATATAAACAAACTGCTTTCAAAGTGTTTTAGCCCCAAAACAATGACATTTGATTTCATCTTTTACACTTTACCTCACCAGAGGCATGGACAGCTAACACACGTATCACATAGAGAAGAATTGCAATGGCAATGCCCGTGGCACGGTTTTCTTGTGCATTAGCTGTGCAGCTTTGATGCAACTCGTAAAGAATATTAATGGTGGAGCATGACACAGTAAGATGTAGGTACGGACAATTAGAACCTGGGGGCCGTGGGAGGCGGGGGGAATAAAACAACAGAAAACCTACAAAGGCAGAAGCTGTAATCACTAAAATTTTACGTGGACAAAAATTTTGGGGGGCAATATTTATATAAAAAGAACTATCCCCATGGAAACAATTATATTAAAATGTAAATGGAAAAGGCATTCTCTGTAGTAACTGGTCAAGAATTAAATTGGCCTGCCCGGCGGGAGTGGCTCAGTGGGTTGATCATTGCCCTAGGCACCCAAAGGTTGCCAGTTGATTCCCAGTCTGGGCACATACGGAAGGCAACTGATGTTCTGCACATCAATGTTTCTTTCTCTCTCCCTTCCTCTCTCTAAGCATGTCCTTGGGTGAGAATTTTTTTTAAATGCTAATAATAAACTCAAAAATTTCTCTCTCACTAGTGGTTCAAGACCAATATGGAAGCCTGATGTGTTGGGCTCCCAAACTATATATCCCTTTTCCGAGATGCTGCCCTCATCTGCTTTAGCCACTCCCATATTCTTACCTGTAGGAAGACGGGAAGATAAAAGGAGGGCGTGCTTTTCTCCATTTACAGGCGTGACTCAAAAATTGCAGACATGCTGAAACCGGTTTGGCTCAGTGGGTAGAGCATCGGCCTGCGGACTCAAGGGTCCCAGGTTCGATTCCGGTCAAGGGCATGTACCTGGGTTGCGGGCACATCCCCAGTGGGAGATGTGCAGGAGGCAGCTGATCAATGTCTCTCTCTCATCGATGTTTCTAACTCTCTATCTCTCTCCCTTCCTCTCTGTAAAAAAATCAATAAAATATATTTTTTAAAAAAAGAAAGAAAATTGCAGACACTATTCTTCGATGACTCCCCACACTCACCCCTAAGCAAGGCTCACTCAAGGTCTGGCCTGCCTGCCTCTCCAGCCCCTCATCTTGAGTTGCTCCCGCGCCTGCACCCAGCACAGCAGCCACCCCATCTGCGCTATGACTTTCAGGACTCTGCCTGGCGGGCTCTTTCCACCCTCACCCCTTTCACCCAGACTCTGCACTAATGTTTTTCCTCCACAAAACTCCCTGGTGTCTCCACTTCTCAGTCCCACCCCCTCTGCCAGTCCATTACTATGTTGAGTTTTATGTCTATCGTATTGTGCATTTTCATAGCTCTGAAGTCAGAGGGCGTCTGCAATGGGCAGTGACTTACAACTGCTCTTGGCCCCTAGTGAAAACAAGTCCCCCCAGAGAGCATTTATTTTTGCTGTTCCCAGGCAGTACTGTGTGGTTGGCAGCTCTAAGATGAGCCTCAATAGTCCCTGCCTCTTGGTATTCATGTCCTGTGTATCTCCTCCCCTTGAAACATTGATGAGGGGAGCATCCATTGGCTGCCTCCTGAACCTCCCCACTTTCTGGGGATCAAGCCTGCAACCCCAGGAGGCGTGTGCCCTGACCAGGAACCCAACCTGTGACCTCTTGGTTCCTGGGTCGATGCTCAACCACTGAGCCATACTGGCTGGGCCCCAATTTTTTTTTTAAAGAGTGTAATTTGGTGCAGCCACCATGGAAGACAGTATGGAGTTTCCTCAAAAGACTAAAAATGGAACTCCTATTTGACCCAGTGATTCCACTTCTAGGAAATGTACCAAAACCAAAGAAAGGCGCAGAGCTGCCTTGAATAGATTGTCAAAATGCAGCAGGAAGGCCGGGGAAAGTTGGGGGGCAGGAGGGAGGGGTATAAGAGATCAACCGAAGGACTTGTATGCATGCATATATGTATAACCAATGGACATGGGACGCTGAGGGGTGGGGGAGGCCAGGGGATAGTCAAGGGCGGGAAAAACAAAACAAAACAAAGACACATATGTAATACCCTTTGTAATACTTTAAGCAATAAAAAAAAAAGTAATTTATCCGTGTTTTTCTTTTTTGGCTTTTGGGTGATGTGTCCTGCCTAGGGTAGTCATTTGAAGAAAACCCCTAGGTTAAGAGCTAATTGAAAAGGAAAAGTGGCAAGCTTCACCCCACTTCTGCAAGAGAAACAACAATGAACATTGAGAAAGACTTACTCAGTTTTTCACTGGATCCATAGCTTAGGAGAGGGAGAGCCTATAGCTTTACTGCTCACTGTGTCTTTATTTGAATTTCTGGCAAACACATCAAATTCAATGGAACTAAAACCCAGACAACCTTTTTCCTCAAATTAGGACTTTCCTATTTCTGACAGTCTCATGAATCCAAACTCAGCGGTCATCTCTGTGTCCTCCCTTCGTCCCTCCCGTACCTCACCAGAAATTGGCATTCCTTACTCTTCATGTTCTCAATATTCCAGATCACCTCCCTGTCACAGACCCTCGTCCCTCAAATCTGAATTGTCACGATAGCATCTCCACTTGTCTCTGCTTGCTACTTGCCAATATCCTCATCCTGCAAGGAAGTTCTCAGGGATTCCCCCCACCATTATCGCCTTAAACTGTTTGTATATATATATATATATAATGTCACTTAAAAATATGTGTAAACATAAAACTGAACATTAACTTATCCTCAGAGCCCTGACTCTAAAACCAAAACAAACTTACAAATCAAATACAAACAAAAGCATAAAACCAATAAAATTCACTTTACTAACCATTTAGTGCCAGATGCTGTTCTGTTGACTGTTCTGCTGATCCTGTTGCCATGGCACTGACGGCCTTCTGGAATTGCGTGTGCCTGCAGTATTATTGGCCCTGATGGCCAATTTTCTACTCTTCTCTTAGAACTGCTATGAAACCTTGGTTAATATAGTCAATCACCAGGAAATTCGGTCTTCATTTTAACATAGATGCATCATGTATACATTAATTACTCCTTTACTCTTTTCTCCTCAACTTATGACCAAGGCACTTGGTTCCATAAATATAGACACAGATATGGGCAATGAATCCAAGACATCATAGGGGAATACACAACTATAAATGGACATCTAGATAAGTCTGAGCTTTCTTAGATTAAAATTTTAAATATTCATAGCAGCATTATTCACAATAGAAAAAAAGGTAAGAAGCAATCCAAGTGCCCATCAGCAGGTGAGTGGATAAACAAATTGTGGTGTATACATACAAATGGAATATTATTCAGGCTTAAAAAGAAAGGAAATTGTTGGCACATGTATAAACCTTGAGAATATTATTCTAAGTGACATAAGGACAATACTATGATCCCACTTATGTGAGTTACTTAGATCAGTCAAATTCATAGAGACAGAAAATAGATTGGTAGTTACCAAGGGCTGGGGTGGGGTTGGGGGTGAGGAGTTAGTGTTAATGGATATAGAGTTATAGTCTTACAAGATGAAAAGTGTTGTGTGGGTAGATGTGGTAATGTACAATGTGAAAGTACTTAACATTATTGAATTGTACACTTTAAAAATGGTCAAGATGCTGTGGTACATTTACATAATGGAATACTATGCAGCAATAAAAAAGAAAGAACTCTTACCATTTGCAACAGTATGGATGGATCTGGAGAGTATTATGCTAAGCGAAATTAGTCAGAGAAAGATAAGTATCACCTGATTTCACTCATATGTGGAACCTAATGAACCAAATAAACTGATGAACAAAAACAGATCCAGAGACATAGGAGCATAAACAGATTGTTGAACCTCAGAGGGAAGGCAGGTGAGGATGGGTGGAAAGAGATCAACCAATGTACTTGTATACATATAACCATAACCTATAGACACCGACATTGGGGTGGTGAGGGCCTGGGGGGTGGAGTAGGGGATAGGAGCGGGCTGGAAGAGGTTAATGGGAAAAGAAGGACCTATGTAATACTTTCAACAATATTTTTTTAAAATGGTTAATTCATATGGTAAGTTTTATGTATATTTACCACAATTTAAACTTTTAAAAATATTATCAAGTGAAAGACCAAAATTTTTAAGTGCTTGTAGAGAACTCATGGGCTCTGAATGAATATTTTTATAGACCCACACACCTTGCAGTCCACACTGCTTCCATCTGTTCTCCACCTATACTCCTAGCCTGGGATGCTAAGAGTAACCTTGCTCTGACTCAGTTACCTCTCAGCTCTCCTCAACACCAACCTGCAGCTCCAGCTAACTGGTGTCCACCAAACTCAACACATATGCTCACCTCTTTGCCTTGGCTTGTGCCTTTCCCTGTCTGAGATGCACACTTTCCTCTGCTTGTATCATCCAATCCTTCCGTTTGGTTAAACCCTTCTCCTCCTCACAATGAGATAGTCCCAGGCCACAGTGAGTGCCAGTACTCCCCGTTTCGCATTAGTTACACATTCTAAATTATGTTAGCACTTACTCTTTCAATCACTCCACAAACATTTATTGAGCATAGGCCATATTCATGACAATGTGCTTGGGCGGCTCTTGAATCAAATGCTGTGTTTTCTGCTTATTATCTCTCCCACGGTCCCTGACACATTTCATAGGTGTTTACTGCAGTGGTTTGGGTGATGTTGCACCGGTCTGTACTGTCATAGTCCTCATATAGACAGCAAATGTTAAACTACTGAAATCAGGAATAGTGTGATCTCAGGACTTCCCTAACATAACAGAATATTGTTAATAATGGTAATTTAAAAAAAAAAATCAAGCCGAAACCGGTTTGGCTCAGTGGATGGAGCATAGGCCTGCGGACTGAAGGGTCCATGTTCGATTTAGGTCAAGAGCATGTATCTCAGTTGCAGGCTCGATCCCTGGCCCTGGTTAGGGTACTTGCCGGAGGCGACTAACTAAAAATAAATCAATATTGAAAAGCAGTTGTCAGTACAAGAACGGTTTCAGAACTGAGTGCAATAGGGATTGTATGGTAAGGGACTCTAGACCTAGTTATTGGAGGTTTCCTTGATGATGGTAGGAACAGTTTTGGTCATGAATGTCTGTGGTCATCAAGGACATGTGCTGTTTCCAACGTTCCTTTGAATACCATTCACCTAAGATAACTGCACAAAGTAACTTTATTCATAGGTTAGGCAGTGTTTGAGTAGACTTGAGTTGCAAGGACACTTAATATAATCAATTTCTTGAACTCGGATTTGTGTTGTGTTTTAAAAAACACATTATATTCAAGTAATGGGTATTTTACTTACAGAATTTTGCATGTAGCCCACTTCTTTCTGCACAAAGATAAAATGTTATTTGTATTTGCTTAATTCTCCATTATTTTGCCGTTTCAACATGATTTCATACCCCCAGTCATTGCACTGCTAGTCTCAGGTTACGTTGCTTTCACGCTCAGCCTTTTCTGACCTTCATTTTCTCTCTTTATGTTCTTGAATATGGCTTTGCGGTGCAGGGTGTTCCTCCCCGAGATCCACAACAATCACCTCCCTAGAAAATGTCACTTCTTTTAAAGGTCTTTTGCTGATGTCAGTAACTGAAGGGGTTCCAGTGACAGGTATGTGTGCTCCTTGCAAATCAGCGTCCTGCAAGAGAATGGGACGAACTGTGTAAGTGATCATTTTATGAACACAACGAGCCCTGCTTTTGAAAATACAGGTTATATGTACATTGTTAGTAAGGAACAGAAAACTATCACGAAATGATATAGGAAAGCTGTGATAACCCATCGTGTTCGTATTTCTGGGGTTTTAAAAGCAAACACTGACACATCCAAATAGCATTTGGTAACGTGTGTTGTTCTCTCTATGCCGCAGTCAAACCCGGGAGCTGCCTGGATCATCGTTCTGTCTCTGCCTGGGCCTGGGTCTTCTGTTGGGAGGGCCTGTGAGTTGTTCTTACTAGGGAGCTCCAAGCACGGAGCGAAGGAGCCCTGGCAATGTCTGTGTGCTGGCGTCGAAGGAGCCCGAACTCAGAAGGGACACAGGTCTGGTCCCGAGCTAAGCCACAGTGGAGGAATGACCTTGAACAACTTGTGTCACTTTCTCATTTGTTGGATCCCTAGATGATCTCCAAGACCTCCTCCAGCTCTAAGCTTCAAGGATTCTGAGAAAAGCAGCAAAATGAGGGGAATTATTAAGAAAAACACAAATGTAGCCATGAAGGAGGAGCTTATGTCAGGCTTGGCGTATGTAAGTCGTTAATAACGGGAACCAATGAAGCTAAGAAGAATGGTTTAAATGACCATGGACATGGCACTCCTTCCAGGTACAAACCTAAAGAGCATCACAGGCAAGAGCATCCCTTATTGTGCCTGGCCACGTGAGCTACCCCCTTACCGTCGGACAGATTCTAAACTGCCCTTGCGAGGTGCGAGCCCATCACCTTTGGACTGTTCTCCTTAGGACCCTCAGGATCTGGCTCCTCTTGTATTTTGCCCTCCACTCCGCCCTCTATGTCCTCGTTGTTTTTCAAGTATGCAGCCACCATTTCTTTACTCAGTCTGTGGACAAGGATGCCAGGCCTCATGATTTGCTGTAGATTACTAAAAAAAAATAAAAATAAAAATCAATCAGCAGGGATTTTAAAATTCATGCACATTAGCCACCAGTATCACACGCAAAAATGGCTTTCTACGACATTCTATGGACATTCTATGACACAGACTTACTTTTCTTGGTCTCCTGGTTTGCTTGTCTGCACATTATCAGTTAAACAATCTTCACAAGGACCGTTTTCTGTCTCTTCAGTTTTCCTGCTTTGGAAACTGAAAGTGAACAAGCAAACAGTTCAGAAAAAGGAAAAATGGTCTTGGTTTTAAGACTAGCATGGAACTTCATGTTTACAGAGGCAATTTGCATTTCTCAAACCCTGAATGGGAAAAGTAGCTACAGCATTCTTATTTCATCTATTTTAAATTATTTGATCTTATTTCAATTTGAAATAAGATCAGACTTGAAATCTGATCCCAATTTATCAGCATGAGTTTATACCATTTATATAAAAACAGCATCAATAAAAAGAGGATGGATGTAAAGCAAATGAGGAGGAGGATGACGAAGATGATTGCTATGGTGTCAGAGCTCATAGGCTCAGCTAGAAGACCTATCCACTCTCGCAATCACGGTTTGTCCAAATATTCCTTTTCAGTTCAGTTTGAATGTCGATCTCTTGTTCTTTAAGTTTTCTAGAAACAGAAGAATTAAAGGCTGTTTTCATTGTTCCTCTGGCCAGCTTTGTAAAAGATGCTCTGCTGTGTGCTCCCTCAGCTCACCGCCCCTCATCCCCAAAACTATCCGAATCTAAGGAGAGAGGCACTGGAGCATCTGCAGCTGAGCCCAGCTACCCTCTCTTCTCTCTTCAGTGACATCACAGACTCATGGAACCATTGGGTTAGCGGGACTGGAGCCCAGCCCAACCCCACCCATCACCTGGAATCAGGAAATCCACAGAGCTCTCCTCTGGGCTGCTGTCTGTCTGTCCTCTCCCCTGAGGTGGTGGGGGTGGAGGTCACCTGACACCATCTTGGCCACTCTTTGGACAAGGATTTCCTTCCTCTTCTCAAAACGCCATCCTTCCTTCCTTTCACCTGAGCCTGCTAAACTCACTGCTTTTTTCAGACCATAAACAATCAGTCTGCTTCCTCCTCATAAATTCCTGCTTTGTAGCCCTGAGGCCGATAATCAACTCACCTCCTAATAGCATTCTCTCCAGACCGCATAGCCCATATCCTCCTCATCCCACAGCAATGGGCCTACTTCCAGAGCACTGGCAGCTCTAGAGGCCCTGGCTGAGCTGACCAGAGCAACGATGACCCCTGACCCACCCTAACTTCAGGTGAGTGAGCGGTGCCCAGGACAAGGGAGGGCAGAGCTAGGATTTTCTGAGAAAAGGAAGGTACAAAAGAGTATGGTAGCTGCTGCCAATCACATCCATAGAAGTCAAAGGTGAGCTGAGGGGTCTCTGGGCTGCAGCGACACTGGCTACCTCCCAGAAAGGCAAGGACTGTGGCTTCTTTACTTTTGTATACTCCACCAAGTCAGGACCTGAAATTCCATAAATATTTAGTAAGTGTGTGTGTGTGTGTGTGTGTGGGCACAAGTGTAGTTTGCTGAAGAGCTCAGGCAAGGCTGATTCTGCAGAATGTGAACCTCTGAGCCACTCAGCAGTCAGCAGGTTCCTGGATGAAGCGTTCTCCAGCCAAGGCTCCCAGATGAAGGCTCAGATACACTGCTGTCCAACTGAGGCTTGAGTTCAAGTCTTCTCATGCCTCATGGACACACAGGTTTTTCTGGGAGATTTTATATCTAGTTACTGGTGGCTACACTGAGTTAAACATATGTAAAAATCCATTAAATTTGTGTACTTAAGATTAGTACACTTCATGCCCTCTACTGTGTGGAGGTTATACTTAAATAAAAAAGGGGGAAAGGGCCCATCCCCTTACTTAAATTTGAGTGTGTGTGGTGCAGAGCAGTGCTGGACTGACTAGGGCAGTGATGGCAAACCTTTTGAGCTCAACGTGTCAGCATTTTGAAAAACCCTAACTTAACTCTGGCGCCGTGTCACCTATATAAATTTTTTGATATTTGCGACCATAGTAAAACAAAGACTTATATTTTTGATATTTATTTTATATATTTAAATGCCATTTAACAAAGAAAAATCAACCAAAAAAATGAGATTGCATGTCACCTCTGACACGTGTGTCATAGGTTCGCCATCACTGGACTAGAGGGCACTGCTGCTGGATGGTCTGTCTCCAACATTGTTCACCACACATACTCTAAGACCAGAGACTTTTGCAAGGACACAGCAGTAGCAGCAAGTAAGGGCTGGATAAGACTGTATCTAAGGGCTTTCTTTGACTGAATGTGGCTTGAGAATTCTACCTTAAATTTATATGTATAGTTAATATACTATAATACGTGGAGGGTTATTTGAATTTGGTCTCTAAATTGTATTTTAAATACTGGACTGTAGCGGGCGGCGGTTGGCGACGGGGACGACGACGGCGACATGGCGGCGGCACTGCTCGTGGTTCTGGGGCTCGTCCTGAGCGTCGAGAGCGGCTCCGGGGCGGGGAGCAATATCACGATTTCCAAACTTATTGTTGACTCCAAAACACGCCTCACCTGCACCTTGGATTCCAGTGACACTGCCATCCTGGGACACCGCTGGACGAAAGGGGACAAGGTGCTGCAGGAGGACTCGGAGCCCGGTCTGACAACGCAGTATGAGGTAGACACACACGAGAGCGCAGGACAGTACTTCTGCACCTTCCTCTCGGAACCTACAGGCAGAAGCGCCGACCTGACTGTGGAGGGGCCCCCCAGGATTAAGGCTGTGAAGAAGTCAGAGCATGCCACTGAAGGAGAGACAGTTGTGCTGGCCTGCAAGTCTGAGTCTTTCCCCCCAGTTACCGACTGGTTGTGGTACAAGATAAACGACAATGAGGTCCAGATTTTCAACAACGCGTCCCAGAACAAGGTTGTGATGTCCTCGGAGACCAAGACGGAGTTGCACATCCAGAACCTAGACCTGGAGGCAGACCCTGGCAAGTATGCCTGCAATGGCACCAATGCAATGGGCACTGACCAGGCCGTCATCACGCTGCGTGTGCGCAACCGCCTCGCTGCCCTCTGGCCCTTCCTGGGTATCGTGGCTGAGGTGCTCGTGCTTGTCACCATCATCTTCATCTATGAGAAGCGGCGGAAGCCGGACGAGGTCCTGGATGATGAGGACACGGGCTCTGCTCCACTGAAGAGCAGTGAGCACATGAATGACAAAGACAAGAACGTCGCCAGAGGAACGCCAACTGAGTGAGCAAGCAGTGAGGAGTCTGCACAGGCCTGAGCTGCTGTCCGGAGGAGCTGTGTTCCAGGTGTTCCTGGTGTTCACACCATTCCAAGTCCTCTCCTCTTAAAGGAAACCTACCCTGCAAAGTAGACCACGCTGTTGATTCAAATCACATGTTTTCTCTTATTTTTAAAAGAAACTAAGCTAGGGTTTTCTCTATGTAGAATTCCATTCCTTAGGGGTTTTGCTTTTTTATTTTTAAGAGCACTCCAGGGGAGCTGCGAGGTTCTGTGGGGAGCCACTTATTTTTAAGCACTCCAGGGGAGCTTGAGGTTCTGTGGGGAGCCCCTGCTGTCCCCTGCCTATTCCCTCCATGTTCCTTCCTTGCAGCCCCAAACCATACCCTTGGTGTCCCCTGGGCATTTAATTTAGCCTCTAGTCCATCATGCTGGGGGCTGTGGATGACAGACTGGCTTTTCCCTGAGACTCCTTCCACAGCTCACCTCCTGAGGCTGCTTTCTGCTGCTTCACTGCCCTTTTCAGGAGGTCACAGGTCCCAATGCCTGGCGTCCTGCCTGCCTGAAGCAAGTCCTGTCACATCTCCGCAGGTCTGTGTGACCTAGTCCAGCCTGACTTCATGGCCACCCCTCAGAGTATCCCCCTCACTGCTCCTGCCCTCCCCACGCTGGGGAGGGGGGTCTGGATGACCATCATGGGGTGGGAGTTGCTGTAACAGCCCCATTCGCATCTGTGCTCATGGTGACTGAAGAAGCCCCCTCCCCAATGGGCCTGAGGCTTCTTCCTTCACAGCATCCTGACTTACATGGGAGCCCCCAACCCCACCTGCCTGCTCACCAATAAAGGCTGACTCACCTCTCCCTCTCCTGGAAAAAATAAAAATAAATAAATAAATAAATACTGGACTGTAACTGTGATGCCATGGGGTTTTACATATAGATGGGTCTCCAGGGCCTAACACTATATGCCATGCACAAAGAAGGTTTGTACTGCCCTAACTGGTTTGGCTCAGTGGATAGAGTGCTGGCCTGTGGACTCAAGGGTCCCAGGTTCGATTCTGGTCACGGGCATGTACCTTGGTTGAGGGCACATCCCCAGTGGGGAATTTGCAGGAGGCAGCTGATGGATGTCTCTCTCTCTCATTGATGTTTCTAGCTCTCTATCCCTTTCCCTTTCCCTTCCTCTCTGTAAAAAATCAATAAAATATATTTTTTTAAAAAGAGGTTTGTACTAAAAAATTATTTGTGATGGGACATTACTACCAATATTAAAGAAATAAAAAATATTCTGACAGTACCATGAACAATTGTATGCTAACAAATTGGTTAACCTACCTGAATTAAAATATTCCTAGAAACACAAAACCAACGAAGACTGAATAATGAAGAAATAGAAAATGTGAGTGAGAACTGTATTAAGGAGACTTAATCAATAGTCAAAAAGTCCCAACAAAGGAAAGTCCTGGACCAGATGGTCTCACTGGGGAATTCTATCAGACATTTAAAAAACTAACACCAATCTTTCTCAAAGATTTCCAAAAAATTGCAGAAAATGGAACATTCTCTAACTCATTCTATAAGGCCAATATTACCCTGACAACAAAGCCAAGGACAATACATGAAAAGAAAACTAAAGCCCAATATTCCTTCTGAATACTGAGGCAAAAGTCCTCAACAAAGTACTAGCAAACTGAACTTAGCAGCATATTAAAAGGATTATATGACCATAACCAAGTAGGATTTATTCCTGGAATGCAAGGATGGTTCAACATGCAATACACCACGTTAACAGAATAAGGGGGAAAATACATTATCATGTCGATTCAGAAAAGGCATTTGACAAAATTTAACATTCCTTCATGATAAAAAGGAAAAACATTCAACACACTAGGAATAGAAGGAAACTACCCCCAACATAATAAAGGCTACATATAGAAACCTCACAGCTAACATCATACTCAATGTTGGGAAAATATTTGCAAATCACATAAATGGTCACAGATTAATATCCAGAATATATAAAGAGCCCTTATAAGTTTGTGTTTATGTGTTTTATGACTATATAAAGAATTCAACAACAAAAACAACCAACCCAATTCAAAACGGGCAAAGAACTTGAATAGAGAGTTCTCCAAAGAAAATATACAAATGGCCAAAAACCATATAAAAAGATGCTCAACATCACTAATAACTAAGGAGTAAATCTAAACCACAGTAAGAGCCGTATCTGGTTTGGCTCAGTGGATAGAGCATTGGCCTGCGGACTGAAGGGTCCCAGGTTCGATTCTGGTCAAGGGCATATACCTGGGTTGCAGGCACATCCCTAGCAGGGAGTGTGAAGGAGGCAGCTGATAGATGTTTCTAACTATTCCTCTCCCGTCCTCTCTGTAAAAAAATCAATAAAATATGTTTTTAAGAAAACACAGTAAGATACCACCTTACACCCATTAAGAAGGCTAGCATTAAAAAGAAAAGAAAAAAAATAGAAAATGACAAGTGTTGATAAGAATGTGGAGAAATTGGACCCTTGTGCATTGCTGGTGAGAATGTACAATGGCGCAATCACTGTGGGAAATAGTATGGCAGTTCCACAGAAAATTAAACAAAGAATTACATATCATCCAGCAATTCCACTTCTGGGTATATACTCAAAAGACATGAAAGCATGGGCCCGAGCAGATATTTGTACACTCATGTTCATAGCAACATTATTCACAATAGCCAAAAGGTGGAAACAATCCAAGTGTCCATCAATAGGTGAATGGATAAACAAAATGTGGTATACATACCAAAGAATGCTACTCAGCCTTAAAAAGAACAAAATTCTGGCACATGTTGCACATAGATGAACCTTGAAGGCGTTATGCCAGGTGAAGTAAGGCAGCCACAAAAGGCCTGATTTCACTTATGTATCAGATACCTGGGACAGCCAAATTCATAGACGCAGAAAGTATAATAGAGGTTACCAGGTGCAGGGACGAGGGGGAAACGGTGAGTTATTACTTAATGGGTACAGAGTTTCTGTTCAGGAAAGTTAAAAAGTTCTGGAGATGGATAGAGGTGATAGCTGCGTAACATTGTGAATATACTTAGTGACACTACAGTGTACACTTAGAAATGGTTAAAACGGCCAATTTTGTGTTGTATGTGTTTTACCACAATTAAAAATGTATTTGTGGAACAAAGGAAAGTAGCGTGGTATACGGCAGGCACTGGAAAAATAAAACGAGCACAGAGACCTTGTTTCAATCTCCATCCATTTGCTCATTTTGTTGCCCACTGTGAATATCCTTGCCTCTCCCTCAGACCTCTACCTGTCCTCACTTTAAGTCCTCCAGGTCTTGGTCTTGGATTGCTCCTCCATGATGCCATCGCCATCCGCTGGGCTCCTTGCTTCCTCTCCGTTGTCACTGCAGCTCAGTGACGCACTGTATCACCTACCTGCATCCCAAGCCCTTGCCCTGCCCAGCTCCAGCTGCAGGCACCCGGGGAAGTGGCAGCATCTTCCCCATTCTTTGTTATTTATCTCCTCCCACCTCACTTTCCCTTGGCCTCAGGCTCCCAGAACCCTGCACATTTTATTTCCTCCTGGGATCAAAGCCTGCTTTCTAATCCTTCACTCTAAGAATTCCTGACAGAAATGTAAAGTGTTCCCACTCTCAAGGACATTTCTATTTTAACAAGGGCTTAAAGCAAAAGCAAGACAGGGTAGAATGTCAGGCATCAGCCAGCAGATAGGGAGTTCTCTTTGGAGCCAGGAGGGCTTTTCTGGTGGTCATGGCATCTGTCACACTGCGGTCAGACATGGGTTCCTCCAGGCTGAGCAACCTGCTCTCCCTCCCCCTCCTGCCTCGAGGCTACTTCAGGGTAGTGGCCAGAGGATGTGCACTCCTGGCGACAGGTTCTACAGCATCTTGTGCTCCAGCTGGGCCTTGATCCACATGAGCTGGTGACATCCTTTGACAAAAGCATGATGCTTGAATTGCAGGATCAAGATGAGGACATCCAGAGGATTCACGAGTCACAGCTGCCTCAGTGTGAAAACCAGGGTGCACACAGGACCCAGTCCTGCTTGATCAGTCACAGTTTAGGGGTCAACATGTGCTCTGAGTCATCTCAGCTAGTCTCAGTGTCAGGACGTTTGCAGAAACTACCAGCACAGAAGTGTAAACCAGAAACCGAACCTTCAGTTGTATGAGCCAGTG